CTTGGTTTTAGAAAATAAAGTCCTGAAATGCAGTCTGCAGATTGGTCCCCGTGAGGGCTGGTCTGACAAGAATGTTGGCATGACAGTTGTGGGCAGTCTATTTCCCAGAGGATTGTGTAAATTTCTTTATCAGTATTAAACATTCAGCTTAGAAGCTTTGCCTAGAAATTCGAATGCTTGGGTTTCAGCGTACTTTCATAGTTCCAAGCACACTGTGCACTCTTTGGCTATTGCAGTTGTCATCTTTTTTTTTTTTTTCCCCTCGTTTATTATTAAATAAAGTCAGGCGTGTCTTTTTTTTATCAGGTTACTTGAGTTAGCATAAATCTGTAGCCGTCAGTAATTACGAGCCAGCCAGAGTTCACAGGCATCTCATGAATAAATTCAACCCGGCTTTTATCGGGTGATGGGGGGAATGAGATGCCACAAAACCAGATTTCTTTGCATGTTCTAGTTTCAGCTAGAATTCTGTAGATTTGCCTGATGCTTCAGGACAGCTAAAAAAACAAAACAAGAAAGGTAACAGAGGAGGTACTTGGGTTTAGTGAACTACTGTTTCCAGTTATTGGGCTGTTGAAAATATTACAGTTGAGGTAGGGGTCAGTATTGATAACGGAATAGATGGCCTCCCTCAGACCCTTCCCGGTTCAGTGCAGTGGCGGAGTTTGTTATTCTGTAGTCTTATCAAATGATAAAGGAGAAGGTTGGAAGAGAATCCCAGTGGGCTGGAAGTGGGCGAACCATGTTTTTCAGTAGAATTATGAGCTTCTCGAGTTGCTTGACTGGTCAGTGAGCTGTGCAGTACTTGGTTTTGAGCTCGTGCGCCAATGGAGTGCTCGGGTGAATGTGGAGGATAGATGTCTCGACATGTTTTCCGCTGGAAAGAGTTTGAGCTTGAATTACCTGTACTTTTAAGAGTCAAAAAAGTGCATTCTTCTCAGCTGTACATGGAGTGATTAATGCTGCACTATGAATAGTTTTGTTCTCTGACACATTCCTATTGCATTTACCTTGACACAGCTGCTCATGGGAGCCTCCCTGCGAGATGTCATCCTGCGGCCTGTGTGGGTGTGTGTCTGCTGCTTATTTCTGCTCGGCGCATTGCTCCTGGCATGTTAACACCCAGTGAGGTGCCCTGGAAGGTTGTGTTTTCTGAGTGAAGCATTTAGTAACGAGGTGTTCTGCTTATCGCTTGAAGAATCTGAGTCTTATTGCCAGGCTGTAAATGAAGATACTCCTGGTGGAATCAGTGCAGCTCTTTCAAACAGATGGGGACCAACCGTGTGCTTTTGATGGGCATAACCAACTTTGTTTACACAGAATTGTACTTAATACATCAAGGACTTGAATGTTATTTTGCTTTCTGGAAAATTGTCTACCTAACTTTCAATAAACTTCACAGAAGACTAGACATTTGTCATAATTAGTGGAGATGAGATGAGAGGCATGAAACGTGACTCAATGTTTTTTCAAATTTAATTTTGTGACATTTTAATTATTTAATAAGCTGCAATGTTGAAATGAGTGCTCTATTGAAACAAGATCGCACTAATCACACTCGGTTTCTACTTATTCATATCAATCCTCATAAATATGGTAGGCTTAATAGTTGTCAGTTTTGTATTTTATATAGAAGTTAATAATCTAACAGTCAGTAGAATTAGTCTGTATGTAGGACTTCAGATCCCCAAAGAAGATGGAAAGGTTAGAGAGTGGAAATTAGTCATGGATAATGACAGAATATGGGGCTGCGCGTACCTGGATATTTTGTCTATTTTGTGATGTAAATTGGAGGTTTTACAAGTTACTGCACACATTTTACTTTTATTGTGGTTTGAAATGCACTCATCAAGGCTGATTCTCTCCAACCCCGAAAATTGAAAATAGCCTTGCAGTTCCCCTTTGAAGTCAAAGCCAGCCCTTTTCCCAAAACAGCAAGTCGCCAAGGTTTCTTGATGTCCTGGAGTCTCGGGTCTGGTGTTTTTTTACTTTAATCTGCGTGCGAGTTCTGAAAGGCAGAACACAAACTAAAACAAAAACAGGGAGTGCTGCGTAGCATCTGCTCGGCTCTCGCATGATGAATAGGGAAAGTGACAAGTTTACACACTCCCCCGTATTTTACGGCAAAGTTTGTGCATTTTCAGGGTGTATATAAAGTTGAACTAGCAGTTTCCACAAAGTTAAATTAATCTAGTCGTAGTTTCTGGTCTTGATCCCCTGTTACCTGGAGAAGATGCTTCCCCGCTGTTTCCTGTCAGCCCCTAGAGAAGATTGAAGTGCCTCTTTCTGCATGGAATTGCTATGATTCTGTTTGGTTCTGTGAGTGTGCAGTTATTGGAGTTATCCCCATCTTGGCACGTGATGTCTCTCATGGACCAATCGTTTCTGGGGGCAAGATGCCCAAACCCTGCACCCATGAGAAATGGGAACATGTTGGCTTTTCCAGAGTTGGATTTGGGCCTGATGCCTTTGTTGAATATGTTTGTTTTGTATAAATATGGAATTGCCAGTTATTTGTGTTATACCCACCCGATTTTCAATGGCCAGTTGTGTGCGTTTCCCATCTCGGCTTGCGACTATGAACCCCACAGCCACACACAGGCCAGAATGTAGAATGAGGATGTGAAAGTGTAGACAGACTCCTCAGAGCCACCCACCTTCAAGACACTCATGAATATGCCCCACGCTGCACCAATACTGTTGAAGGCTCAGCACTGACCCAGTGCCCACAGTCCATAGGGTTTGCCTGATCTCCCACCGTCCTCGGCAGCGTTCAGCCACTTATTTGCCGCTACTTGAGGAACCACAGTCGCAGTCGGATAGTGACCAGACCCAAGCTCGAACCCAGGATCATGAAGCCCGGCCCTTAAATATTGAGCCAAATGGGAGGCCCGAAAATGTGTATAATTTTGCTTTGTGTGTCTGGAAAGTACGTTGAAAGTAGTGGGCCATATAAAAATAAAATGTTGTCTGTCTTTAATGCGCCTGCATTTGTCATCTGTGACCTTTGCTCATCCAGTGTGATTAGCTGCAGCATGTGAACAGTTTTGTTCGCCATGCCTCCAGTTGCCATTAGTTATTCAGTTTCAGTCCCATAAGGGCAAATACAAACTCTTACCTGCTGTTGCATGACTTGTGGCGTGATGTCTAATCTTGTTGAAATAGAACTTCCTATGGCAAGAAATTAATCGCGCACAGTTCTCATTTGATATTTGTAGACAGCTCATTACACATAAAAGACCAGACAGTGTTAATTGCTGCTGCCGTATTTGGCAGTTGAGACCGAGTTGTCAGGGTGGAAAGTCTATTCAGCTTTCCTCCTTAAAGATTTCTCCTTTGTGTCAATTGCCTTTTAGATCACTGATTTCATTGTTGGGAGCTAAATGATCAGAGGATCTCATCCAATTTCTTGACAGAAGCCAGGGTATCGGCTTCAGCAACATGGCTGGGTTGCCTGTCCCACCCTCCCACAACCCAAGGGCTCCATGGAGCAATTAACTATTAGAAGACAGCAGCAACTATTGTACCATAATCAGAATTTGTGAATGCAGCCTTTCAGTACTGTGATGTATTATCATTTTAACAATGAGCTCTTAGCAATAATTAGACTAGATGGAATCACTTCAGAATATCAGAACTTAGTTTCCTCTTAAAATACCCTTCATGATTTTTTCAGTGGTCTCTGTCTATAGTGTTACTCAACTGACAAAATTTCAGTAACTGCCTACATTTCCTTTTCCATGGTATGCTCCTGGGATATTTATTAAGGATCAGTCAAGGACAGGCGGCAAAGTGGATGCAAAGTTCATTTCCAGTTATTTCCAGACCACAGCGATGTTGCAGGGTTGCGATGCGTGAAATAGAGGGTCATTTTATTTAAAAAATACAGCCTTCAGCAAGATGGCATCTGGCGCCGGCTGTTGTTCAAAGAATCCTATTGTTTTAGGCGGAAACTTTCATTTCTTTCTCAAACCACAAGCTCTGCCCCTCGTTTGTCATATTAAAATTGTATGTTGCAGAAGAATGTGGAGGGCCTCCAGATGAAATGTCTGTGTTCTCTTCTTCTGTTGTGTACAGAAATGTAATCTGCTGGAATCTATTGGAATTTGATCTAAACTCTGTTTCTATTATTTTTCCTTACACTTAAATAGTGCTTTTCTGGGCCCTCCACTCAAAGCGCTATACAGGTAATGGGGAGAATGTTCAGCTCCCACCTGAATGATGATACAGCAGCCATAGTGCGCCAGTAAACTCACCACACATCACATAGCAGCCATATCGCCCTGCATCTCGCAACTGGCAGCCCACTGAAGCTCAGCAGGTGTGAGCCTGGTCAGTACCTGGATGGGAGACCTCCTGGGTAAAACTAAGGTTGCTGCTGGAAGAGGTGTTAGTGGGGCCAGCAGGGGGTGCTCACCCTGTGGTGCATGTGGGTCCTAATGCCCCAGTATAGTGACGGGGACACTATAATGTAAAAGGGCGCTGTCCTTTGGATGAGACATTAAACTGAGGTCCCGATTCTCTGTGGTCATTAGCGGGGCATTTCTCAAAAAGAGTAGGGGTGCTAACCTGGCCAAATATCCCGTTAGCCTTTACCAGACATGGTCTCCTAAAAATCCCCATTAGTGTCCCTGTCACTATACTGGGGCATTATGACCCCCTACTGGCACCTCTAACACCACTTCCAGCAGTATCTTTAGTTTTCCCAAGAGGTTTTCCATCCAGGTACTGACCAGAATGTAAATATTTTATTAGTACATTTTTAAACTGCTAAGCTAGGCATGCTGATGCAGCAACCTACTTGAACTATTTTAAATGTGTCTAAAGAAAACAGTAGTTACATTTTTAAACTGCTAAGCATTGGGAAACGTCAGACTATGGGTAGAGAAGGATGTCGAGTTATCTGCAGTCGTGTTCTCCTGGATTTGCTGTGCTTCATCTCTTCCATCTCTGCTTTTGTTCTGATTCTTTCTACATTTTCCTTTGTCATGTCTCACCAGAGCAACTTCGGTTAAAGGCTTTGCGGAAAGTCCACGGAAGATGTTTGTGGTACCGGCTGCGATTGATGAAGTCCCAACGAAGTATTATTCCAACACTAAAGTACGTAATGTTTTTGTTCATTCGCAGTTGATGGGTTTCAATGTCGATCATGCGCTGAAGAGGATTTCCTTAGACGTAAGCCAGCATTGTTGTTTAAAGGAATCTAGGTTTATCCCAGAAAACCATTACCACACGTCCTCAAGAGAGGATGAAACTGAAACATCTGCTTCATTCAACAAGCAAAATTCTTTCTTGGATAGCAGAAGCTGGTGGTGTTACAAATGTGTTGATAAGTGTCTGAAAACCAAAATGTAGTGCAAGAGTGGAAGTTAGGGGGTGAAGCTGACTGAAATTTCCTGCTGTCAAATAAGCCTCAACACCAGCCATTTTTTAACAATCCTGACAATAGTTGCTCATTAGACCTATAACAGTTATCTTAGGTGTTGCAGTGTCTAAGTTAGATTTGGAAATATTCATTTGTGCAGATGATAAAATTGCAGATCTTTGTCTAAGGACACATTTCACAGAAACAAAAGGATGTGTGCTGATCTGCATTGTCTGTGGAATTAGGTTAGCTGCTTGCTCTGGATATAATGTCTTCATTTGTTTTTGGTGTCCTGATTAAAGTTCTGCATTCCTCTCAATTGCTACAATACTACAGTAGAGCCTTGTGTCAACTCCTTCATTTTTCAAAAATCTTCCCACGGTTTCAGAATTGGAAGAATTTGTCTTGTTCTCAGCACAGAGCTCATACCTGTCTTTCCTACTGCGGTACAGTGACTGGGGAATGGCTGACCTCATTTTACTTCATCCGTCCTGAAGATCTCTAAAACTGTTCTTGTTTAATTGTCCAGCAACAACATTAAGTTAATTTTGTGATTTCTTTTCTCTTGGGGTCTGTTCGACTGTTTGAATTCCCATCTTTAGGTCACTTTTCATTTGCTGAAAAGATGGCTGTCCACTCAGCTGGGTTACTCAGTCACAGAGTAGCTGACTGTAGTAAGCAGTGTTCATTAAACCTTTAAAAGACCTGAATTTGGAACGATGATATAGTGTAAATATAGTGTAAAATCTCTGAACATGACTGGATTAAGAAGGTTTTCTGCATTGCCCCTTGCCTTGGTCATCCGTGTTCAAAATCTATTTCATCGGTATGAAAATGTCATTATTTTCTGTGTGGCATTTGCCTTGTTTTAACATGACCTTCCTCAGGAACATTCATGTTTTACCTTTTAATTTTCTCTTACAGAAAAGTAGCCCTGTTGTTCGGATGGGCTGTGTTTTTGTTGCTTGCCTACAAAGTTTCAAAACTAGAAAGAGAATATCAAGAATACAACCCATACGAGGTCTTAAACCTTGAACCGGTAAGTCTTTTTTTTTCCCCCCGCAAGCTTTCTTCCTGCAATGATTCGCACGTGCATGAGACAGTGAGATGTCTGTGCCTTCGTCTCCATGCAAACAGGCAGAGAACGATTATAAGAGGGTAGCTGGGTAAGAGGAGACATGGTGCGAAAGCTTCATAGACTCTTGGACATCTTCCAGAAGAACAAATAAGCTGATTTTCTACTTGTTGTTTGCTTGTGTACAACCTTTCATTGCTTGTTTTCCCAGCTTGTGGATAAACACCCATTACGATGCATGAAATCACTGCTTTTGTAACCATTTAGGAGATTTGTTTTTGTTGTTTTGTGGGGATTGCTGTACTTTGCAGCAGCTGTCTTTGTGGTTGAGTGGTTTTCTGCAGTACGTGTAAAGTTATTGTTTTCATACTGTGTAAATGCTTGGTCTGAATTTGATGCTTATCAACAAGAAGCACCAGGACCTTTGAGATGTACTGCTTGTAAAAGGCTGGGGATGAGGGGACTCCATCCCTGGTCCAGGAGAGCCCTGATCCAGTGACTCCTATAGGTCACACTACTGCACCTGTTTAGCAACACTTCCTTAAGCAAGTGATCAATTAAGCTGGTAGTGAAGGAAACGCTGTTCCTTGAGGGCTGAAGGATATTCTGATTTATGTTCCAAGTGATCTTTATATTGCATAATTGAAGTTCCCACATGTTTAATTGATCATAGACTGTAATTAATCGCAGCATAGCTGATCGAAGCCTGGCCTTTAGTATGCGTTAAAAGTACTGCTGTGGCTCTGCGGGACCAGGGCTAGAGACCCTGGATTTCTGGAATGACTCGTGTTGTGAAAGCAGGTTTTAGGAACAGCAGGCACGAGGGGTTTTAAGGCTATGTGTGGTGGATAACTTTTAAGCAGAAGAATGGGAAAACAAGTGCAGTTCTTTGAACACTGATGTTTATTTACATTTGACTCTACTGACTTAATTTTAGATAAATAATGATAAATCACTGTTCTGCAGGTATAACAGTAAACCTGTCTATTTGAAGCTCGTGATGGTTTTTAATACTCAGTCAAAATAAGATTTATAGTATTTGTATTAAAATATACTTATTAGGGAGAAGAAGTGACCTTGATTTATACCTCAGGTTTTATAGCGAAGACATGAACACTGGTATATCACCTTGCTAAATGACCAAGGCTGTCTTGCATAGTTTCTGTGCGTTTTCATCTCCGTTCATTTGGAGACACAATTCTGAGCAGGTGGCTCAGTGGGCTCATTAAACGGTCCTCTCAGTCTGTTTGCACTGGTGGTCTGGGCTTAGATCCAGTTCCCTTTCATCTGAAATTGCAGTGTGCAATTCATAACTTTGGCCAAAATCAACTTAGTCTCCACCATTACAATATACGTTTTATATCTTGTCTCTCAGCAAGTATTTTTTAGAATGAAGACATGTGCAATGTGTGAATTGAGACTGAAACATCCTGTTGTATAATTTAATTGACTATTTATGGTCTTTTGAAAATTTAAGTATCCATCCCTTAACTATGAGACAACATCACTTGAAAGATGACAATCACTTTGGCCTGTCTAGTTTGATTGTTTGTTAGCAGTTAATATATCCGAGGTTCTTGACCAGCTATTGGCGTATAGAATATTTATCTTATCTTATTTGGCTTGGACAACATGACTGCTTGCTGCCTGTTCTTATATTTAAATGCACTTCCCTCTAGTTTTTACTGTCTTCTGGTTTCTGTTTCAAGTCAATTTGTTATCAATATTTTAGTAAATATTTCAACTGGATCCTCTCACACCCTTCTTTGTTCTTAGTCAGTTTTTTCTGCCTGTCAGAGTTGGACATTTATTTAAGCCTGAGAAGCCACCCAGTGGCTCTTGTGGATTTATTCCGGAGTAACAATTTTGTTTCTGTAGTGTGGAGACCTCTCAGTATGCTGTATTTTGTAATGAAGTAGACACTTCGAAGTTTTAACATTGCTTCCCTTAATTTAAAATCTACAGTTTTAGGTATAGATTCGACCATTTTTTATTGCTTTGCCACATTGTCTAGTAGATCTTATCTTCTTTGGGAAGTGTCTTTAAGCTTCAGTATTTCCCATTTTTGCATGGCATCCACACTGCAGTGTCAGAAACATGGTGTAGAAGAATATATGAAATAATAGTGATTCATTTTATAAAGTTGTTCCACAATAAGGCTCCTCTACCCGTGTGTTTTCTAGGGTGCATCTATCTCGGAGATCAAAAGACAGTATCGGTTGCTCTCGTTGAAGTACCATCCTGACAAGAAGGGAGATGAGGTGATGTTTGTGAAGATTGCTAAAGCCTACCAAGCGTAAGTGTCTTTTTTTAATGAAGGTGCTCCCTCCTTGTTTTTGCAACTAAAAGGCAGCTTCTGACTTTCTCCCATATCCTGGCTGTTTCAACAGTTTAACGAATGAAGAGTCCCGTCTCAACTGGGAGATGTACGGAAACCCAGATGGTCAACAAGGTGGGTGTACATATTTTAAATTATTTTAATTTATTCCATGTGTGGCTTTTTGTTATTTATCCAGCTTGTCCCGCTGTTTGGAAACTTTCTGCTGTCTCTGTACAGCAGGGTGCAAATGTTTGAATTTTTTTTTTAATTTTAGCCATTTACTGTAAATAGAACACCAGGGTCACAATTTTGGACCTGGTGAAAGCTGATATTCTAATAGTGCTCAAATGGCCATTCCAAAAGCTGTCCTGTGAACCCAATTTGGAACCTTTTGGTTCTTTTGCGACAAATTATGGAAATACTAGGAGTCATAAATGGAGTTTGGATCCTTGATATAAGTACATCAAATATATCGTACATATAGGTGATGTAGGAATGTTGTATCATAATAAGTAAAGAAACTCAAAGTAAAAGGCAGACTACAATTCAAAGTACTGAGCTAAACTGTTTTATACCTCTTATTAATCAGTAAGATCAATAATGTGTGTTATTGGTTAAATCAGGTTTAACATGGGATGCCTTGATAATGGTTTTACTTTTTTGTGTTTTCAGTGAAATAATCTAAACCTTTGTACAGTCCTGTGAGTAATGTGTGTTCCCGGTAAAGAAACAGCATACTAACTGGCGTTTCTTCCTAATTCTCCAGTTGCAAGTTTTGGTATTGCTTTGCCTGCCTGGATTGTGGACCAGAAAAACTCCATGCTTGTAAGTTTTATTTGTACCTGGATCCTAGCTAATGTTCGTCTCTTTTCTCTGTTGAGATTCACTGTAAAGTCAATATTCAGTGTGTCCTGCGTGAGCATGTGGTGGCCTTTTGAATTGGGTCAAGCAGATTCCGGTCATGACCACAGCAACGTGATATCAGCCTAAGAAGACGAAAAGCTGCATGTGGTTGTGTGACTCTCGCTTAATAGACTCATTAGACCAAGTGGTCATTGTTGACTTTGACCTCATCCACAGATAAGGCTTACCCTGCATAATAAGATGTGAATTTTTCATATTTTGATGATGCTTGTATAGTTCCTGTTGTGCAAAAAGAAAATGAACAGTGTAAACTGCATATTAAAATGATGCCTTCAGTTAACATTTAACAAATGAACAGATTCATTGAACATTTTGGAAGTCGAACCAGAAGAAATAACTGGAATTGTTTTATTAAACTTCCTACTTGTTTGTGTCTGAATAGGATCATATTAATTGTTGGGTCTACGTCTGTATGAAGGACAGAGTTCACGATAGAGATGTTGCAATATGAAAACAAACTAGAATGATCATGTTTCACACTGTTGACATGCCTTTTTTGAAAACCATCTGCATTTTAAACATTGTCACTGCAGCATCATTCAGTGAAATTAATATTCACTTCCATGTTATTTTAAAGGCAAAAAATGGAGACAGAAGAAAGCTACGCTGATTCTCTTTAAAAAAGTGAAATACCCTTGTGGAATTGGCACAAACTGCTGTGTTAATGTTCCGCTTAACCGCAATGCTAAAACATGGCTGTTTTCAGCAGCAATTTGCCACATTTGTCAGCACTACTGGCGGCTCAAAAGGAATGTCGTTTAGAGGTGAAGCCCAAGGAGCTTTCACTGCTGCCAAAGAGAAAGTCTGAGGCCTTCTTAAGGTGCAACTATTGGTGACATTTCTTAGGTAATCCCCTTTTTCTTCTGGAAGAAATTGCAGTGTGGTTTAGGTTTGTAAAAGGAAGGTTATCTCTGAAGTCATGAAGATGTGTGATAAATATAACTACAGTAATATGGAGAAAGCAATCTACCTTTTAATTTTGCAGGTTCTGCTGGTTTACGGTCTTGCCTTCATGGTTATTCTTCCTGTTGTTGTGGTAAGTATAAGCAAACTTCACCGTATGTTTTAAACCAGACTTGTATTTTGTTTTTTACGACGGTTCGGTTTGCTGTTTGATTCTTCTGATTTTCTTCTTGGTTTAGCGTTTCATTCGGTCCCTGCAAATTACGGGGGCTCATATTCTCAAAGAGGGCTCAAGCCTGAGATGAATAATTACAGTAACATCCTTTTACAAAGTTCAAAACCAAGTTTTAAGGGGGTTCTTAACCTAGAGCAGTGTTGTTCTTGTTTTTTAATCATGTGATTAAAATCGCAGGATATTCCATCTTTAAGAGCCTTTTGCTGTCAATATCGCTGTAATTGCATTCACAGCACATTGGCATGCTTTGTTGATATAGCAGGATTTGAATGGGCATTTTCACAGGTGTGTCATTTTTAGTTTGATTACAGTGTTGTAATTGAGTACATTAAGTTCAGTAAATAAAGCATGTTGTTAGCGTAGAAAAACTGGCAGTGATTTACAAAGACAAAAACATTTCCTTTAATTAGGTGTGTATCCCAGTGCTGTGATTTCAATAAATAAAACGGTTAACAATACTTATACCATGAAACAGTATTTAATCAGTGCTCTGTATGGAAAAAATGTGTCTTTATTTGGACTTACTAGCCCACCGTCTTCATTTCCCTAAGCAAGGGCACTCACTTGGCAGAACGCCACCAGCGGTGTGGCCGAGGAGTAGTTGGTCTCTGTTTTTCGGGGAGCAGTGGGTCCTGTAATTTACTGGAAGCCTGCGGGTTGCTGTGATGTCAGTGAGAGATGCTCCGTTCCTCCAGTCCTCCAGTCAGTGCTGTCTCTGATGTGGAGCACTGTGGTGGAACCTGAAGCAACATTTCAAATGACATGGACATGTGTCCACATGTCTCATACTCTGCGCTGAGTGGGTTCTGCCTTTAAGTTGCTGGAAAGTTAATTGAAACAACCTAATTGTGTGGGCATTTAAGTGTTTTTACCTTTACCAGCAATTGCCATAAAACCACACATGAAATCACCTTTTTTCACATTGAGCTACATTTACAACTTGCAATGAAAGGGGTATTCTTAAGGTAAAACCATCATATCGGTATTGCATAGTACTTCCAAATTGTCTGTGTATCTGCTTTTCCTTAACCTTAAACTAACCCTTGCGTTTTTATCCTTTGGTAATTTCTACCAAAAATATAGTTACTGTTCAGCAGCAGGCTAAAGACTCCTGTAGTTTCATCCCAACACCTTGTGAAAAAAAGGCCACTGAGATTCATTTGTGAATAGGACTGAAATTCCAGTTTTGAATTTTTGATTAGTCTTAGGCTTAAGTCAGCTTTGTGAAAAGTGACCGCATGTGACATTCTGGGGATCTGTCTGGCATGACAAAATGTCTTCTGAAACCCCATGAACTTCTCTGTCAAGGATCACCTGCCTTTGGATTACTTAGAGAGGAGCAGATCTTATCTGGGAAAGTTAGCTTGAGGTTTCAGGTGGCCTTTAAAATTTAAGGTGTGGTGTGACTGCCAGGTTTTTTCAGCTCTTCCATAGCACCTTGAGGTTCATTACAAGAGTCCAGTGTGAAGTTCCTTGTGCGTGCTCTGCAGAGATCAGCTAGCTCTCCTACTAATGACAAGCCCCTGAGATTTAGTTTACACAGACATTTTAATTTGTTTTTCTTTGTCTTTAGGGTACTTGGTGGTATCGGTCCATACGATACAGTGGCGACCAAATTCTTATCAACACAACACAGCTCTTTATGCATTTTATGTATAAAACTCCCAATATGAATATGAAACGTAAGTATGATCTGTTTAATTGGTTCTGGGAGTACCGTGTGATTGCTGAATATCATTTTTGGTCTTATGATAGATTTTGAATATGTTACCTGTAACCACATTAGACTTAATGTTATCTAAAAAATATTTTCAGAATGTGTGAAGAGAATTTTTTTCATTTTGGTTCTCCTTGTAGGTCTAATAATGGTTCTGACGGCAGCATTTGAATTCGACCCACGTAGTAACAAGGAAGCAACAATTAGACCCACAGATAACATTGAAGTACCCCAGGTAATGAAGTCCTTTGTTGTATGCAAAGGAGTGATTTATTACAGCCCATCTAGGGCTTGGCAGGAGTTTACTCTTGATTTATTACTGTTGCAGCTTATCCGGGAGCTGGGCAACATCAATGTGAAGAAGAAAGAACCTCCCTTCTGCTACCCTTACAGTCTGAAGGCCAGAGTCTTGTTGCTCGCGCATCTCGCCAGGATGGACCTGTCTGAAAATATCGAAGAAGGTACATCTCGGCCTGTTTCCCATTGAGCAGTTTTCTGTTCAAGATGGGCAATTTTCTGACCTTTCCCAATGCTTAGCAGTTTAAAAATGTAATTATTGTTTTCGTTAGACAAAAATTTAAAATAGTTCAAGTAGGTCACTGCATCAGCATGCGTAGGCTGCAAAGGACCGGGAAAGGCTTATTCCATGTTGAAGAAGCATTCCACAGCCGGAACGTTGTCTCTTTTCTCTTCAGCATGGAACAAACCCTTACTTGTTCCCTCATATATGCAGTGGTTGACAAAAGTATTGCACAAGGCTTATAAGGATTAAAACAGTTAGGTTTTGCATGTCAAAGACTGAGAGACATCAGGAGCAGGTGGCAAGTGCCGCAGGGTTCCAGAAAATGTGAATAGTACACCTAGATCATAAAGAGTATATTAAAGCCAGCAATCACATACTATACTGTACATTTTAATCAGTATCTTCAACATGACAGAGGGCTGGTCAAATAGACCCCTGATAAGTACCTTTAGTTTGGGTTGAATTTGAAAGTTTTCTTCTGTGTTGGGTTAATTTTCTTGATATTTAGCATGGAATTGACATGGGTGACAGTTCTTTATTTCGGATACTGCTGAAGATAATCCGGCATACTATCATTATTTTATTTTAGAAAAGTTAGAAATGCACACTATTACCTGCAATTTAGTTTTAAAGTTACATTTATACAGAAAGCACTTGAGGTGCCTATGCTGAATGTGAAATCATTAAAGGAATTAAATTGTGATTGAAACCTGATGAATGTATTTTTTAAGACAAGTATTAGTCCTATGCAGGTGTAAGCAGTTGAACCTGTAGTGGAGTACTTTTAAGAAAATTATGTGCTTTATAAGTTCTGCTGGTGGTATGTAAGCTTTACATAACTTAAGTAACATTAGAAATTGTCTGTAGTAAGTACAGCTGAAGTTATTGGATTAGTGTAACAGTAGTGCAGTCTGGGCAGAGCAAGATATGCATGTATATTGTATGTATTGTTGCATGTCTAGACTATTGTTTTTTATGTGTATTTTATATTGGGTGTTATTTGTTTTTTGTAGTTTTTTATGGTGATGACAAAGACCAATTTCCACCTTTTTGGATGGACAATACAGTTATATCTTATAAACATCCACATGTTAACTAAATGGCATACTAAGTGAGGTCAGCAACTGAGGAATGAGCTGGCTTGTAATGTTTACAAATTTACTCATTAACTACTAGATGTTTAATGTGTTTCATACCTAAACGTAAAAAACTAGTTCATACCCTTTATAGTGCATCTTAGTGAATTTAATAGAACTTGAATTATTTTCTTGTACGCGTTATTTCTTGTTTAGCACGTATTAATTTTTACTTTAAGAGCTTGATAAGGTTAAGCACTGAGGTCTGCCTCTCTAGTTTTGAAGATCACAGTTGGTAAAACGAAGATGCAATGTCCATTCCGTTTCCTTTGGTGAATTTCAGATCAAAGGTTTGTGGTGCGGAAGAGTCCAGCATTACTTCAGGAAGTGGTCAACGTTGGCTGTCAGCTCACTATGATGGCCAACAGCCGGGGAGGTAAGTGACACACTGACTCCTCAACCACGGGCGGAACAAAGAAGGAAGTGGAACTGTGTTCCAGTTTTCAGGGATAGCCGCAGTTCGCTCATGGAGCATTTCAGTATGTGAAATTGATCTTGGAGCTAATGTTACATATTCTATTCCTTAACCTTTCGTGATCAGGGAGAAAGAAACCGCTTTTCAAGGGCAAACTTTTTTTTTGTTGTTTGGTCGTTTTTACCTCAGGGTTTCATGCTCCTCGTTTGGTGTCCATTGAGAATTGCATGAAGCTCTCTCAGATGATAGTGCAAGGACTGCAGGAGTCCAAATCTCCTTTGCTGCAGCTCCCGCATTTTGAAGAGGAACACCTGAGATACTGCGTTTCCAAAAAAGTAAGTGCGATCAGCTTGGCTGCCGGAACGTCATGAAGAAAAAAAAAAGATATTTCATTATTTGCTATTTATTTCTATTATTATATCCTCCAATCAAGAGGGTGAAGAGAATTCCCTGGAAAGGTGGAAAGCTGGAAAGAGGTCACTAGAATAAGCAGATTCACAAAAGCTGCATTTAGCATGGTTTGATATTCTCCCTGCCAGCTATACTGGGGATGTGCCTGTAGATTTTCCTTTGAGCATATCATTGATTTACTGCAGAAAAGGATGAATAGATTTTGAGGGGTTGTGATTCATGGCTGTGATTCTGAACTCCTCTTTTGGCAGACTACTCAATTTTTTCCCCCACCAACAGAAGATTTATTTTTCTAGGCACTTAAGATACATATGAATTTGTTCGCGGAGTCTTAACTAATTTATCAACATGTTTTGTTTCTGAATATGTTCGAAACAAAAGGAGGCCCATCTTTCTTGTTCAGTTGGTAGTAAGATATAAATCCAGGAAAATCACCTGGTTGTTTTTTAACATGAAACCACAAATAATAAATGAGCAACATAAGAAGGGAGTTTGACACCCCACACCTTAAAAATTCTTTATAAAATGTTGTCTCCTCATTTGTGACTTAAATGTTACTAATCTTGCTTTTTTGGGGTCCCTGATGGTTTCATCCGCGTTTCCCCTGGACTGACTCCATCTGCAGGATTTTGAGTGCTCAAGTCAAGTCTTCCTGTAATCTTATGTGTTACAAGCTAAACAAGTCTGCTTTATTAATCTATTACTCCTTTCTGATTTGGTTGCTGTTACAGGCTGGTAAACAGAAAAAAAAAATGACAGCACTAGTTATGGTTTTAAAATAATGGCAAGGCAGCGTTTTTATTTTCCTGTGCAGAAGTCAACACAACAAAACCAAGTCTTCTTGGATCGTTCATCTTTGATGTTTAGTCAGTCTTTCCCAGTTACTGGGGGGTCTCCTGTTGAGAAATGTGGCATTTCTGGCCTTTTCCTGGCTACCTCACACACCTCTGCTGAAGGGAGCACATGTTTATGTTGAACTCTCAACTATCATGACAGTAACTACCAGTAGCCGCCCTCCCCCTCAGACAGCTATGAGCTGAGAGCCTCATCAAAGTTTCTCTCCTTTGCTCTTCTCCAACGAAATCTTTCAAATAAGATCTAAATCGTGCATTGCATTTTTAAAACAATACTTCTCTTGATTTGTTTTACATCTTTTACTATATCCAAGCATTTGGTTGGCATTTTGTACTGTTTCTCAACACTGTTTAGATGAGGAAGTAGACAAACTAGATATTTCCTGACTGCTCTGTTGGTTTTGTTTGAAAAATGTTTAGGTTTAAAATGTTAATCATGTGATACCTTGCATTTTAACTTGTTAGGTTTCATTTGTCAGCATATCTCCCAGGATCTGATTAGTATTTAATTTTTTTTTTCTTACTGAATACACAATGCGGCTGTGCTTTTTTTTGTTTCCTCTGCAAATCTGGTGCATTAACAATGCTATCATCAGTACTGTTAATGTGTCTCAGAGCAGCAGTTCCATACTGACATCGGTGGGACCTGTTTCCTCCATTCCAACCAGTTTCTAATCCATGTATTACTTTGGAGCACACATTTTGTTAATTAGTCTGTCATATGGGCTGTGATCTCTCTGAAACTCCCATTCTATATGTAGTATACCCTTTAATGTAAGTGTTGTTTTTGCCTGTGCTCACTGCTTAGTTCTTTGTATTCATTGTATGATGGGTGGCACATTGGGTTAAATTCTTGCCTCTGCTACTGTAATAGTGAGAATGTCAGAGAAAATACAGGCTTGAAAATGCTTTGAAAATAATTAGTAGTACATTTTTTGAAAGAAAGACCTTGCAGAATGTGTGCTGGAAGGATTTTCTTTTCCACTTTTTGTTTAAAACTGCATTTTTAAAATGTACGTTGTGGAGTGTAAGAAGTTAACTGTCTCTAAACTGTCATCGTCTGCTTCCACAGTACAAAGTGAGGAGCATTCAGGACCTGGTCAGCCTGAAAGACTCGGACAGGCGCAATATGCTACGTTTCCTCGGGGAAGAGAAGTACGAGGAAGTCATGGCTGTACTCGGAAGTTTTCCTTACATTATCGTGGATCTCAAGCTTCAGGGTACTGTGCACTTCTGTGAAAGACTTCTAAAGACAAAAAACATTCATCCGTGTCCAAAATTAGACCATTCGTATTTTTGCTAAAAGGGAAATATCTGCATTACATGGATCATTTTGATTGGTGCAAAAATAAATCAAACCAACCAACTGAGCTTTGCGTTTCATAGTTTCACGTATGCGAAGGAAACGAGCAGAATTTGGAAAAACTAAAATTCAGGGAAAATTATAATAAACAAATATCATAGGGTGCATAGTCAGGGTAAGGTTTGTATCATTTACAAAACAGTATGCGTCACTTCAGGTAAACGGTTTTTGATTCGTTTATCATCTTTTATTTTTTTTCCCAATTGTATCTTGGGAATTTCTTGCTGGAGAAAAGTAAGAAAAAGCAGATGAAGTTTCACTGGTGTCTTCTGTCATTTGCAGTGCTAGACGACGAGGATAGCACTAACATCACGGCAGGATCCATTGTAACCGTCACTGTGACGCTAACGAGAAAGAGAATGGTGGTAAGTTATTCTTTTGTTCTTTTCCTTTTGCCGGTGAGTCTCAGTAAGCTGACTTTCCAGGTTTGCTAAATGGGTGTAAAAAGTAGTAGTTCCTCCCGGTCTGCAGCTCCCCATTTCTGGTTTCAAGCTGGAGTCCAGAGCCTGCGGGTTTTCTTTAACTGACTCTGTCGTCGCTCATGCGTCGCACCCATTGAGGTGTTAGCTTGAACTCCAGGTAAGAGTGCTGGGGTTCAGCATAGTGTGACGGGCTGCACCCGAAGTCTGCCTTTTCTTGCCTTCGGTGCGTGTTGCTTTATGTGCACATGTGGGGGCAGCTGCATGTAAGTCCCCAGATGACCACTGGGTGGCATCTTCTCTTTGCAGATTACAGCTAAACATGTTTTATGTCTCACTTAAACATGCTTCCCTTCCCCTGGAATTTCGGTCTTGATTGAATATAAACAGTAGGTGAATGTGTCCGGCACACTGGGAGGTAAGGCTGTTCCAATGGCAAGAATTGACTGTTCTTCTAAACATCAAATTTAAACATTAAAAAACGTCTTTAACACCCCTGGAATGTTGTCAGTGGTCCCTGAATGTGCAGTTAACGTGGCTTTTTTCTCCTGAGAAAGTATTTTCTGGTGCCTTTTTCACCCATTGGCATTGGAAAGTTTGTGACTGAACAAAGAGGCTGGGCAGAATGTTAGAAGTCTAGACTGGGCATGTGAAAGTAAACAGAATGACCCCAAAACCATATTTTAATTTCTTCTCTTTCTTCAAGGATTTCTTTGAGGCAGAGCAGGATCAACTCCGTGTTGTAGAAGACCAAAATACAGAAGAGGGGGTAGGTCAAATTTAAAGTTTTCAGTGGCATTAAAAAATGTAATGCAATGATCGGTCCAATTATTTATTTCGATGTTAAGAATTTCTTAGTCTTGGCATGGTGTTTTACGAGTTTGAAAGCATGTTGAGTTTCACATACAGAGGGATGCAGTGTTTCTTACATCGATGACTTTGTAACTTTTAACAACTGTTTTCAGCTACAGAACTGAAAAGTTGTCCTTTCTAAAAATCTTAGAAAATGTTTTTTGTTGTTTCAGCAAGGAGAAGCCAGCAGAAACAAAATCAAAGTGTGGCAGAACAAGAATAAAGGAGCTAAGAAGGTGTCAAAGACAAAGAAAAAAAAGTTAACCAAGAAGAAAACAATTTCTCAACAACAGCAGAAAACTGACAAGCAGAAACAAGCCAATGGGACTGTTTCTTCAAATGTAAGAAGTTTAGGAATCTCTTTCAAGTTACTGCGTATTGTAGGACAAGATCAAGTGAGAACTAAAGACACATCCTTTGCTTATATTAAGATATTTGTGTATTTAAGCACAATAGGAAATAGTGCTCCCCAAGTATAACATAATATCATAATGGAACAAGTAAAGTTTTATTCCATGCTGAAAAAAGAAGAAAATAAACACAATGTTTCAGTTGTGGAGCCTTCTTCGGGTGTGAACTACTATAATATCATAATGTACATGATCAGGTACCCGAAATGAAGATCTGTGATTTCAAGGGGTATTACATCTGTACACAATGCTTCATCCTGGCTGGATGTTTGTTGTAGGTCTTGCAGAATTAAGAAAGGGTAGGATCTGATGTGTACAGCGTTATATGTGTTTGCTGCTGGTACGTGGAATCCCAGTTGATTTATTACTGAAAAACAGATTCTTTGACAACCTTCAAATGTTAAATTAATCATTTTATGTATACTTATAAGTATATGCATATATTATAGATATACTGTATAATGTTTTTATTTCTGTGATGCCCTTTTAATCTTTTAGTTTTGCTCGAGTTGACTGAACTTTTCAGTCTTCCATTTACCAGTGCCACATTAATAAAAGGCCGCTCATCACACGGCCCCAGCAGATTGTAAGACCTTATGGTTTAAAGACTGGTAAGCCTTTCCGCACAAAGTTACAGGTTGTATCTGTACTTCGGATCATACTTACCTGCTCAGTCTCTAATTTAAAGCAAAACAAACGGTTTCTCTTTGCACCCTTCAGAGCCGTCCCCAGGCTGTGGTGATGGTTCCCATGATATTTGTGCTTTATCGGTGATATAAATGTTTAATAGTCTGTGTTCATTGTGTTTATTATGGTTTTATCAATTGAACGATCAAGTAAAGCACTCTAGCAAGAGAGAGCAAAGCTCAAAATTGGTTCTGATTGTTATGGATAAATATTGGAATGGCTGAAGGATCCTCCAGTTACTTTGTTTCAGTTGACATGGTGACGCGTGAACCGCTTTGAATCTCTGGGGGAAATTTGCCTTGTGAGGTGTGGCGCGGTGAGCTCCATACGCCTGTATAGAATGAGAGAGCGGGCTGTTCTAAACTGCAGCCAGGTTTTCTGAAGCGGGTTCCTGGTTCTCCGGGCAGGAGGTGGTCCCTTCGAAGGAGGAGGACGAGGAGCTCTCCGACAAGGGCAGCGACTCGGACGAGGGGGAGGCCAACAAGGACTCCCCCAGCGAGAGGGACGAGGAGAGCGACAAGCAGAGTGACGCGGAGGTGCAGGAGATGGGCGACGACGAGGAGGTGAGCGGCTGTGGAGCCTGGTGCGGCCCAGCAGGGGGCGACATCTGGACTCTCGGCTGATGCTTTTATTGTTTTTTGTTTTACGCCTCCAATGCTGAGTGACACCTCATCCAGCGTAAAGCACTGATATTCCGCTGAGCGTCTGCTTACAGATTTTCTGTTTCTTTGAAGAAAACTGAAGCATTTGAAGGGCCAAGGGCAAAAACACTTTATTGTCATTATTGCTCACCAGTGGTGCGGTTTGGTTCGTACTGTAGCAGTGGAATGGACTCGGTTTGTCTGTCTGGCCAACCCTTGAATTCCTCTCTCTTTCTCTTCAGGAGTGGGAAGCACTGCAACAGAGTATCCAGCGAAGAGAAAGAGCTCTTTTGGAGACCAAATCAAAGATCACACATCCTGTCTATAGCTTGTACTTCCCAGAGGTGGGATAATTTGTTTTATATGTACTCTACTTCCGATCAGGCATCTTGACACTCGTTCAAAGAGGTCATAAGAATGACGACACTTGTTCTTTTGCCTTTTACAGGAAAAGCAGGAGTGGTGGTGGCTGTACATAGCAGACAGGAGAGAACAGACTTTGGTATCAATGCCCTATCACGTCTGTACGCTTAAGGATACAGAAGAGGTTAGTAGCTAAAAAAAGGAACAAAGAGTTTGTCTGGCTCCTTCGTTTACGTGGGCTGGGGTGGGTTAAGTGGCTGGGATTGATTTTCCTTTCCAGGCAGCGCTGATGTCGGTACAGCAAGTGCCCAACAGGACACAAATGAGAGGAGTGGACCTGAGCACAGCCCTGCAGGCCCAACCAGTGCTGATCTGATTAATTGGAGTGATAAATGTTCTGGCAAAGTAAAAATGAGTGGAGGGCACTTACTGATAGCCTCACAAAGCTTTAAATACAGTGCCATTTTATCCTAACTGATTAAGGTTTCCTATAAAGATAAAGTTGCACATGCATTTAAAGTCTCCAGTGAGCTCTGATTAGCAAGCCGGTATATGTACGCAGTTCTACATATTAGGATGGCCTAAGCACAAGACATGCAAGTCATTTTGGGATTTCTGCTTGTTGGGAATTTGAAATTGGTGTGTAAATGAAGTCTGAAGACTGAGTCTCTCAGCCCCTCCTCCCTGTCAGCCTTCCAAAATTAGTTGCCAAGCAACCGTAGTACAGTAGTGTCAGATTCTTAAAGGGGCAGAGCGCCGTCTTGATAAGGTTTGTTTTGACTGCAGCTTCAGATGTGGCCTGGAACTGTACAGAGGTATAAGGGCAGTCATTTTTATTCACGCCTGTTCTACTTGGGCAATTGTTTATATTCAGGCAATGGTTTTGAACAAGAAACATTGGGGAAAACCACTCAAAGAATGATAGGCTGCTTTTTGTTTTTGGTGTAAATTTGGTGCGTTTTTTTAAAATATATTTAGTATAAAACTATTACAGGGAGCAAAATATTTCAGATGTCTCCAGCAGGACCTGTCTTATGGAGAGCTGTTTTTGGAGTGCCAGTGTAGACGGGTGAGAGGGTGATGAAAGTTTTAGCTGTTCGTGTACAACAAACCCTGCACTTCTCACAGCAAGCAGTTGGGCAAGAGAGAAGAGACTTCAGCTGTTCGGGGCCCAGTGGTTTTGAATGTGCAGTTAGTCTGTACAACCAAGAATATTTTACAAGCCTCTGCCAGACAGTGTCCCCCTCTTCTTCCCTTGACCTCTCCCTACCAAGAAACAGTACACTGTCATTAAATAAGGCACTAAAGTTTCCGATAGTCAAATCCAGACATGCATCTGGAAACCGATACATAAATAACAGTTTTATTTATTTTGTCAGGTAGGTCAAAAGATGCTAACAGATTATAGATGTTCAGTTTTCTAGTTAAAAATTCTCAGAAACATAATCATATTTTGGAGCTCATTGCCAATTCTTGTTAGTATACTATTTGTGCTTTACATATCTAATTATATCATACACAAAAATAATTCTGTATATTTATATATGGAGTTAAGTGAAGGCAACATTGTGAAGATAAAGAATCTGGAGGTTTTTATTATTTAAACCTTTTTATTTAACAAAAAAATGAATTTTAGGGGAATCTTTGTATGATGGCACTGTGGCTGAGGATCTGCACCTGTGGCTGGAAGGTTGCTGGTTCAAATCCCGCAGCCAGCAGAGGAATCCTACTCCATTGGGCCCCTGATCAAGGCCCTTATGACTACACCCTTTACCAAGTAACCTAACAGCCTGAAATCAAAACGCATTAAATCGGAATCTATTTTAGCTATATATATTGTACTTTGCAGCGTGCAAGTGAACAATGAAGGCTCAAACATTCTGAAAAGTTATTGCAATGAAACCACCACCAAACCAAACCTGCAATAATATTTTAAATTAGAGTTAATAATACTAAAAACCATCCCATACTCCGAAGTAATGAGAACATTTAGCTAAATCGGCATCTAATGAAAATTCAGTGACTGCCAACTGAATTTTAAAGGCAAGATTTTTGTTGTAGAATGAACAGCAAAAATGCAAAACAGCACAAATAAATAATACTATTGTGAATATAAAAAGTCTACACACCCTTATTGAAAATGCAGGTTTTTGTGATGTAAAGCTAAAGATAAATCATGTCAAACATTTATCCATCTTTAACGTGACCTTGCGATCAACAAAATTCAAGAGAAAAACAAATAGATAATTATAAGGAAAAATAATTGAAATTAAAAAACCTTCAACACCCTGGTTGCATAAGTGTGCACACCCTTTTATAATGGGGGCTGTAGCTGTGTTCAGAGTTAACCAGTCACATTCAAAATCATGTCCAAAGCCTTTTTATAGCCACTGTATGTACTGGTTGTGGGGAATAAATATCTGTATGGTCCACTTGAAGTAGATTTAAATCAAATTGGTCCCACCACCGCAAATGAGTGTGACATTCTTGGTCTAGACTGTTTGGCCCCGATTGTGTCAGACTAAACTGCATTTCCTCTAGTCTCTAATCATTAGCAGCTCTGACCCACTTGCTGCCCTCTGTCCCTGCCTGTCAGGATGGTTGATTCCCTTTATATCTTCCTCTATCAGACAGCCTGACTTCTCCTTCACCGTAACTAAATCCTCTTCTGATTCTCCCATATCCACATCCACAGCGTTTCCCCCTCCCTGTATTCCAGCTCACTCCCTCGTCTTCCTAAAATCCTTCAAAATTCCCATAAACATCTCAACACATACCTGTGCTCTAAGCTTTTATCTCCACCTGTTTTTATAATCCACTAGTGGAGCGCTTGGGATGTTGCATACATGATACGATACTATCTGCAATCAAAAAAATGAAACTTCATGCTGAGGCCCTTTTCAATAATTGTGGAGCCTTGTACCTAGCAACATTAGTTTGATTGGACTGAGAAGGTGATATCTGAATTTATTTTGCCAACCACAGGCAGTGTTGAACACCGAGCTGGTTTTGTGACGGTGGGAACGGTGTAGAGCCAAACACCAGCAGTGAGAAGCTGAAAACTATTCAGAACTATTATAGTATGCACTGTATGTACTGTAGCTGGCGCAACCACTAAATTTACTAGACTTTATCAACCAATCATGAATGGTATTAAATTATGACCTGTATTCATCCGTTCATAATCCCTTTAGGAAAATTAATAATGGAAGAGCAAGGTTGTTATCTTGCAGATCAGTGAATCTACTCTGTGAAATCCTGTATCTTCTTAATTGTAGCCTTTGTGACTTTGAACAGTTTCCTCTTTGATTATTGAAATAAATGTATGCTCATCTGACTTTTATTTTTTTTCCATTGGTAAGTCTTTAAAGAGAAATTGCACTAAGAAGATCAATCTGTTTCTTCTAGGCATCAGCCTGTGAAACACTGCGGCAGTTTAAGTTTTGGGTAACTAAAAGAGCAAAAGGACGGGCAGGTGATTCTCTTGCTTTGTGCAGAAACCCCATTTTGTTGTACTGTAACTGCATTATGTTTGGGGTTAATTAACCAAACACTTATGCAAGACTGTTACAGGTCACCCTTTCACCTAGAATGTGATGAGGAGTCAGTATAGGCACTAAAGTATTGCTGCACCCTGTGAGGTGCAGGTCTGGAGCACATTCAGGTATTTGTGAAACCCGTCAACTCTGAAGTAGGTTGCTTTATCAGCATGCGTAGGCTGCAAAGGAACCGGTGAACTCCATGCTGGAATAAACCTTTACCTGTTCCTCATCTCAGTAATGCCACTGGAAAAAAATGGTGGTCAAGTGTCCATCTTGGTTGAC